AAAATAATAAAAAGAAATTAGTATATAAACACACAAAATGAATATTTTAGTTTAATAGTGCCTATTATATAATTATAATGTCAAAAAATAAAGAATAAAACTGTTCGGCGATTAGGCGAGGCCAGCCTCAAAGGGCGCCTTGTCACCTAGGCATCGCCTTGACAACTGTGTTGTTGGGCACTGCCAGAATCATAGAATCATTCACAAGCACCCAACATAAGGAGTCTCATAGCTTCAGAGAGTCTTGTTCATGGACTAGGCTCGGTCTTGGCTTTTGCCAAAATTTAAATGGGCCTAGCCTGAAGCCCGAACCCAAAATAGTGTAAACTGGGCATGAAGCCTGACCCATGAACAGGTCTATCTGCAGATCTTTAGCAACCGTCCTCATAGTATATCAAAGTAGTTGATCATAACCCAAAATTTATGAAATTGACAGTGACACAAATCCTTTCATTAATCAATCACAAACTAGATTTTATCAGTGTGTATAAAGACTTAAAATGAAGATTAAAGAAGTTGGAAGAAGTTTTGATTATAGAAGAGCAAAATGGGAACACAATTTTTTCATACAATTGAAAATGGAAGAACTTTGTGACAATGGATGTGAATCGTGAAGAGATCTATAGTCAAGAGGAGATTGCTAAACCTTCAAGAGATCATTAGAAGAAACATAATTGCACATTTAAGGCTCAAAAAACCATAGCAAAGAACTGAATAAATCAAATAGGAAAAAATTAAGAGACTGTAATAGGTATTTGTCTTCCTTTTGGTCTTTAGCCATCTTCCCTTCTTTATGTGTCGATTACTTGCCATTTTAACTTGTCTTTATTGTTACTATATGCTTTGGTTGGATTCAAAAAACTCTTCTGTAGTTATATGAATTTTTCATTTTCTTTTGAATTATTGTGACATAGTAAGTGAAACATATCAAAGTAGTAAGCCAATTATCCAATCACCAATTCCCTGTTGGTTCTTTTCTGGAAAATATTTAAAAAAATAATGATTTTAATGAAAATAGATTTTGGGAATGATATTACAAATGGGGATATTTTGCCAAATATCGTCTATATTGCAAACCATGCTACAGACAATTTACAAAAATGATCATTTCTCTATGTATTTGTCACACGCATTTGGGAACGACTCTTTTCCTTATTTGGGTGCAAGTGAATTTTGGCATTGGAAGTGAAAAGGTTATTTGATCGAGGAACGGATAACCTAAAAAATGAGGTAGATTCTATGGAGGTGTACCAGAGCTGCATTGATTTGGACTATTTGGAAAGAACAAAATCAAAGAATTTTTTTAGTTAGGAAAGAAGTAAGTGATAAAAGAACATGTTATGACTAGTGTGATACATTTGGGCTAAAGCAATAGACATCTTCTCACAATTCTCCGACGATGATATCTGGAGGAAATGGGGAGAGGTGGCACGAAGTTCTTCAAGAAAAGAATCAGCTTTTTCTCTTTGGTTGCATCCTGTTGGAGATTTTATTAAACAAAATTGAGGGGAGTAGTCAAGGAAATCTAGGCTCTTCTAGAGTAGAGTGTTGTTGCTTTATTCTAGGGAGGAGAAGGTGTTGGGGATTCTATTAGAGAAGAATTCATGGCTGTTCTTCCATGAGTGCAGATTTAAAAAGAGTTGAACATGGAGCAGTTGATTATTGAAGGGGACTCTAAGGTGGTGGTCTGATGGTTGAAGAACCCAGGAACTGGTTAACTAGCAACATGACATTAAGGACACAATAGGTTCGAAGATTGGCAAATGGGATGACTAATACCTTACCAAAACAAGGGGTTAATAGGGAATTTGAATTGGGATAAATTGTAATCTGATTTTAGGTCATTGTGAGAGGTTACACCTTGCTCCCATAGTTGCCAAGGTGATGCTTAGGCGACAAGGCGCCCTTTGAGGCTCGCCTCACCTAATCACCTAGCAGTTTTCTACTTCCTACTATAAAATACTTTTTTATTCATTCTTTTCTGAGATTATAATTATAAAATAGACATTATTAAACTAAAATAATCATTTTGTGTTTATATACTAATTTCTTTTTATTATTTTCTTATTTATTAGGGTTTAATCAACACAAACATTGCTAAATGCTGTATTGAACCCTCAAAGACTTAAAAACCTGAACCAATAAGTAAGGAAGAACTCAAAATTTTATCTAATCAGCACATTTTATTTTCTTCTTTTCCTATAACAAAAATAAGGGTTCAGCCCCTATATTTTTTGAATTTTATATTCCTGTTTCCTTTTCTTCTCATGAATATGTTGATTTTCTATAGTTTAATATGAAATTTATACTTTTCTTATCAAAATCAAGAATAATTATTAAAGAAATATGGTTATGGTACCTAGGGAACTACCCTAGGATCTATGTTTTTAACATAAAGAATCCATCACCTAGGAGGCTAAGCGACAAGGCGCCCCCCAGTTGCCTAGCCTCGCCTTGGCGCCTTGAAAACTATGCTTGCTCCTTTGCAAGAGTGCTTCTATTGTATATATACTTCGATGTTTCTTTGATATTTGAAGTTATTTATCAAGAAGTAGAGTTTTGGGATGATATGTTACATGATGAAAGGTGTCGCCACTTATTGATTTCCTGCCCCTTTGTTTCAGAGATCTGGTGTTGGTTTTTCTCTCTTTTTGGTTGCAGGTGGACCTCCCCTCCAAATGTGCAAAGTTTGTCCAATTCTACTTCAGTTAGGGGATTAAAGAGGAGAGGTAAAATTCTATGGAGATGCATAAGAGCAGCTATCTGTTGGACAGTTTGGGAGGAAAGGAATTAAAGGACCTTCCATGAGAAAGAAAGAAATAAGGATGTCATCATCAAATTAATTTCTATTAGGGTGGCTCATTGGACTAAGACTATAAAAGCTTTTTGAAAACAATTCAGCAGGAGACATTATCAGTAATTGGAAAGAAGTGGCTTGGTCAGCTCCATTAAAGACTGCATCTAACCCAGTTTGATGGTAGCATTAAAGACTGCATCTAACCCGTCAGGTATAGGAGGTATTTTCAGGGATGAAATAGGTTAAATTATTGCCATGTATTCTGGTTCTATTGGATGGGGGCATTCTCTAAGAGCTGAAATATTGGCTGTTCTGGAAGGGGTAAAAAGAGCCCAGGAGCTGAATATCAGAAAACTGATGGTGGAAGGTGATTCTAAGCTGGCTATCAGTTGGCTACAGAAGGAAGAGTTCAGTTTGTGGAAATACCTAAATGAGAAAAAGAAAGTTGAACAGTTTACTCAAAACATGGAAATCAAATTTCAGTGGGCTAAGAGGAGTGCCAATTCCTTGGCAGATTCACTGGCCAAACAAGGGGTGGGAAGAGTCGATCTATTCTGGGCAATAATTGTAACTTGAAATGTACCTTTAGGGAGGGTTCAGAGATTTTACCCCTCCCTCTTGTATATTTTTCTCTTAATATCTCTTAATGAAATATGAAAAGGTCATGAATAGACATGGGAAACAACAAAATATGAAAAGCAACGGAGATGGTTTGGAACAAAAGGACGAAATGGCTAAAATGGAAAAAGGTTCAGTTCTTGATGTATGTAAAAATGTACATCAAGAACTGTTGATGGTTGTAATAGATGATGTGTGGGCTGTTGATGGTTGTAATAGATGTTTGTAAAAATACAGAAAAGACAGAATGAAAAGAGAGAATGCACAGAATCACTCAAGGTACCCAGAATCACTATAGCATTCATGGGTATCACTCATTACAGAAATAATAAACCAAAACTCACTCAGTATCATTCACCATCTTTTGCACCAAGGACATTTATACACAACTGTCACTGTCATATTTTGATTCCAAGAAATAACTTCTAAACTACTAAACCGATTACACAAATTTTAGATACCACTAAACAATGACAAAACAAATCAATCTCTTAGGTTGGACCCTACAGACATGTAAAATGACTAAAATACTCTTATTGTCCAAAAATACAAAAATAAAAATCTAAAAGATTCCCATTTTGACTATTCGGTTCCCATATCAATATATCAAGGCAATAATAATATTCTTTAAGTATGTCTACAAACTGCAATATAAAACTAGTTTATTCAGGTAATCTTATGACATTAAACCTATACAAATGATATACAAGTAATAGTTGAAAACAAGAAAAGTATGATAGATTAAGCAAGATTCTTCTGAATAAAAGTCTGGACATTAGACAGAAAGGCATATGATACCAGATGGAGCAAGATTTAAGAAAATGGAATCCTTTATCACATAGCTGTCCACTTTATTAACTCCAGCAATATGGAAATAAATGCTTTCTAGCTTGCAATAGAACAGATTCATAATCACATTTTAGCAAAACTACAAGTGAAAGGATAAATAGTGTGAAAGCTTCTATACGAAGGAAAAAAGCCAAAAAAAAAAAAAAAACTACAGGCTAAATTTCAAATGGATGTTAAAAATTTTTCAAAGAAAAAGACTTCTGTAGACTATATGTAAAAATTGGTCATTGTATAATGATGAATAATCCTACAGCACATAAAGGATATTAACTGAATACATGTTACTGTAAAGTTTTATTGTTATCTAAATTTGAGAGAGAGAGTACTTACTTTGCCTCTTGCACTGAGTTTGGGCAAATCTCATCAGCATATTTCACAAGCTCACTAAGACAGCGGGCCCATCTGTTCTTGTCAGTGTCAAGAATAGATTGAAGTGTCACATCAGGAGGAACTGCATCAAATTCCCTCCGTACATCATAGGGGCGGCCAGAATCCCAATAACAGCTCTGAACAATGTCATCCTGTAAATTTTAAAGGACTAAGTTCAAGGCTAACCTTACAGAGAATAAAAAGGATTCGCAGAAAAGTAAACAAATATGGTAATAACAAACCCCATTTTCTTCAAGGACATCAATAATAAATATTGGCTCAGCTTCATTTTTCATTTTATGATCAGATAGTTCATTTATTGAAAGGTCTCTTATATCATTTCTTAATGCCCGAACACAGCGTAACAACTCTAATGCTGTATGCCTGATCTGAATATCCACAGAACTGAGAAAGATAAGGCCAACTGCATCTATCTCAGAAGCACGAAACTCATTTATTGCTTCTCCTGACTGATGGAAAGAAAATTTTTGAACTTTGTCGTTTCCAAGGCCCACTCGCTTTGCATCCTGAACATCATAATCTAGTCTCTCCTCAGATAAACAAGCCCTCCAGAAACGCATAAGTTCCACCAGGCGTCCCAGTGATGTTTGAATGAGAAGAGGAAATTCATCTGGAAGCCGTAGGATGAAGTTGGCCATCCCTCTCATAACTGCAAAGCGACGATGTGGAAGATATCTTACAATTCGGTTCAGCACCTGAACTGCTTCTTCACGGACACCAGGATCAATACTTATACCATGTTGAGGAATTATTTCGGTGATTTTGTCACTTCGGCCAACCTCTTCAATCAAATAAGGTATACACTTCAGCACTGACCGGAAGAGATATCCTTGAGATTTTTCCTTGGTGACAGCATCTGGAAAAGTTTAAACCTCATTTTGTATTTCTATCCTCAAACAAAGTATCATGAATTTCAAAAAGCATATACATAAAATTTTCAGTCAAACATAAAAACGATTACAGGAAAGCTACAACAAAACACTGGCACACAGAAACAGAAATTGAAGAGCATCAGAAAGAAACTGAAAACTTAGGCAATCTAAAGTTATGAGTCATCAGTATCCTGTGCCCCAGTTACTCAGTTTCGCAGCAAAATTATACCCAATGTTTCATTAATTTTGATTAATAGTGTGATGAATGGAAGATATTGTTAAATTGACATATGTAGGATGTGTCAACCGGAATCTAGCACAAGTACTTGATCGACAAAAGAAAAACCATGAAAGTCAAGTGCAAAAACCAAAACAACTTGTTTCTTGGGTACAAGATATTGCTTTCAACATTATCTATCACAGAAAAAGGACGTTGCCATCAACATTGTGTACATGAGAGGTGAATAATAGAAATGGTGTATGTGATAATAGTAGATAAGAATTTAAAAAGTGAAATTGTGAATGTTAAAAGAATTGGGGATAGAATAATTTTAATTAGACTTGTTTTAGGTGAGAAAATCATTCATATAATTAGTGTGTTATGCACCTCAAGTGGGTTTAGAAGAAACCATTAAAAAACAATATAGGGAAAACTTAAAAGGATTAATCCAAGAAATTCCAAATGAAGAAAATACTTTTGAAGGAAAAGACATAAATGGGCTGTGGGGAAAAAGTATAGGATATGATATGGTATATGGAGGATTTGGGTTTGGGGAAAAGAATGAATCAGGAGGTACAATATTAGATTTTGGAATAGCTTATGATATGACAATTTGAAACACCTTTTTTTCAAAAGAATGATGAACACTTAATAACATTTAAAAGTGGATCAAACATAAGTCAAATAGATTTTTTTTCCTTTACTAGGAAAATAGAGTGAATGATGTGTAAAGATTGCAACATTATTCTAGAAGAAAGCTTAACAATAGAACATAAATTAGTGGTGATAGATGTACACATAAGGTAATGGAAGAGAAATAGGGAAGAAAATAGGTCTCTGAGAATTCAAGTGGAAAAACCTAAAAGGAAAAAAGTTAGCTCAATTTACTAGGAAAATAGAATGAATGATGTGTAAAGATTGCAACATTATTCTAGAAGAAAGCTTAACAACAGAACATAAATTAGTGGTGATAGATGTGCACATTAGGTAATGGAAGAGAAATAGGGAAGAAAATAAGTCTCCGAGAATATAAGTGGAAAAACCTAAAAGGAAAAAAGTTAGCTCAATTTAGAAACAGGTTGATAATAGAAAGGAATTGGAATCTAGTGGAAAGATTAAAATGATATTTGGCTTGAAATGGCAAACAACATAAAGAAAGTAGCAAAGGATGTCTTGGGAGAATATAAAGAGAAATGGAATGTACTAAAGAAATTTGGTGGTGGAACGAAGAGGTTCAAAATACATGTTACAAAGAATGGAAAAAAAGTTAAAAATGCAAAAAAAAAAAACACAAAATATTTAAAACAATAAGAAAAAAAGTTCAACAAAAGTGAATGAAGTTAAATGTAGGGCTTATGATGAGCTTTTCCATAAATTTTTTTGATGAATATGAGCTTTTCCATAAATTAGGCACTAAAGGAGAAAATAAATGTATAAACTAGCAAAGTTGAGAGAAAGGAAAGGCAAAGATTCAAACCATATTAGGTGCAGTAAAGATAAAGATCAAAGAGTCTTGGTAAAAGATAAGGAAAACAAGGAAAGGATAACATTGATTAGAGCCACATTGGCAAACCTCCCTATTTACTTCCTCTCAACCTTTAGAATACCATGTAGAGTAGCAAAGAGGCTAGAAAAATACATGAGAGATTTCTTTTGGGACCCAGGGGAGGAGAGGAAGGCTCACCTGATAAATTGGGATCAAGTTAGAATGCCCAAGGATAAAGGGGGTCTGGGAATAGGAAATATTTCACTTAGGAACGTAGCTTTGCTAGGAAAATGGTTGTGGAGAGCAATTTCTACAAAAGCTGCCCCTCATGTTTCCTCATCTTCTCCTTGGAAAACAATTTTTGAAATTTATCCAATATTCATTAATTCCATTCGGTTTGATGTGGGCCAGGGTAATAAAGTTCGTTTCTGGGAAGACCTTTGGGTGGGAGATAGTCCACTCAAAGATCTCTTCCCTGACCTATACACTTTGTCAAACTTCAAAGGGGAAACAGTAAGCATTTTGGGTAATCTTGGCCCAAATTGGGGTCAATTTGAATCTGGGATTCAGGAGGGGCCTCAGGGAAAATGAATGTGCCTCTTTAGTCCAATTGTTGGATCTGCTAGGACAAGTTCATTTGGACCCATCCTTGGAAGACTCTAGAATTTGGAAAGATTCCTCAAATGGTCTCTTCTCTTGTACGTCCTTCTTTAGTGTTCTTGCCACACCTAGCAACCCGGTTGGGGACTTTCCTGTTRAAGAAATTTGGAGTAAGYCTRTTCCCCCMAAAATTCAAGCMTTCTGTTRGGAAATTTTCCTTGGCAAGGTTAATACTTGCGATATGCTGCAGAGAAGAAGGCCTTTTGCTTGCCTTTCTCCTCACATGTGCTTCCTTTGTAAGGAAAGTGGTGAGACCTTGACACATCTATTTTTATCTTGTTCCTTTGTGCATCACATTTGGGATTCTTTTTGTTTTCTCTTTGGTTGTAGGTGGGTTCCCCCTCAAGATGTGGTAGGACTTTAACCGAGACTTTTTGAGGCAATCAAAGAAAAGAGTGAAGGTTATGTGAAAAACTACAAAGGCAGCTATTTGTTGGGTAATATGGGAAGAAAGGAATAATAGAATATTTTTGGATAAGAGTAGAAYAAGGGAGGAGGTAATCGACACAATTAAAGTTAAAGTAGCTTATTGGATAAGATCCTTACATATCTTTCAAGAGTTCTCAATCACAGACATTATAAGATCCCGGATAGAAGTAGCGCAATGTTCGAGAGTTGAAAGAGAGAGTAAGAATGGAATGGATACCTCCAGAAGGTAACAAGATTAAACTGAACTTTGATGGAAGCTCCTTTGGAAATCCGGGACTGTCAGGTATCAAGGGAGTAATAAAAAATTCTGAAAGGAGAAAAATAGCATTGTTCTCTTATTTGCTGGTTTATTAAAATTTCACTCATTTATCAAAAAAAAATAATAGCATTGTTCTCTAGACCTATCAGCATGGGCAACGCTCTAAAAGCTGAGTTAATGGCATTGCTACAAGGATTGAAGATAGCTAAGCAACTAGGAATGAGGCACGTTGAGGTTGAAGGGGACTCCAAGGTGATCATCTCTTGGGCTAAAAACAATAGAACTACTTCGTGGACTTTCAAACAAGTGATAAGGGAAGTGGAGAAGATCGCAAGGGAGGTAGAGGCTGAATTTAAATGGGTTAGAAGGAGTGCAAATGGGCTAGCTGATTACCTTGCTAAACAAGGGGCTCTGAGGCAACAACTGTTTTGGGCTGCAATGTAAAGAGGGACAGAAATATGTAATAGTGAGGGAACTCTAACCCCATACACAGTTGTAACACTTTTTAACTCTAATTTCAAATAAAATTCTTCTTTGCTGATAGAAAAAAGTAAGGAAAACAAACAAAAATGGAAAACTATTTTGAAAAATTATTGAATGAACAGTAAGGAGAGGGTGCTAATGGAGGAAAAGCTAACAACACTAGTAGTGTTAAAAATAATACATACCTTCATAGAATTATGCTTATTGAAGTAAAAAAAGCACTAAATAAGATGAAAAAAGGAAAGACGCTAAGACCTAATGGAATTCCAAATAGAAGCATGGAAAGGTATGGGAGAATGTTCCATACCTTAGATCAAAGTGTTTCATACCTTGAAAAGAGCTGTGTGGTGGGGCTAAAGTTAGATCAGAGGGAGCTGGAGTCTATTGTTGTATGCTTAGAGTGTTCCATTTCTGAGTGCCCCTTGACCTATTTAGGACTTCCCCTAGGTGCTAACCCAAAGGAGAGTCGTTTCTAGGACCCTGTGGTGGAAAAGTTCCAAAAAAGGCTAATGGCTGGGAAAAAGAATTACATCTTGTTGGGGGAAGAGTCACCTTAATCATAGCTACTCTCGCCAATCTCCCTATTTGCTTTCTATCCGTTTCTAGGATAATCTCTAGGTAGCTAAGAGGTAAGAAAAACTGATGAAAGACTTCTTATGGGAGATAGGAGAAGAGAAAAAGGACACTTGATCAGATGGGAGGTAGTTAGCCATTGTAAGGAAGAAGGGGGGTTAGGATTAGGGAGTATAGTTAACAGAAATAAAGCTCTTTTAGGCAAATGACTCTGGAGGTGGCATGTGGAAATAGAGAGGGCTTTGGCATGAAGTGGTGGCTAGTATCCATGGCTGTACTCGTTGGAAGGCAATTTCTAGCATTCTCCCTAAATTCCTTAAGTTCGTAAGGTATATTATTTACTTAGGTAACTATGTTCTTTTCTGGGAAGATGTTTGGGTGGCAAATCAACCTTTAAAAGATCTTTTTCCCTCTCTTTATTCTATCTCCCTCTTTAAGGAGCCTGTTTCAAGGTTTCTTCATCCCCCAGCTCTCCCTCTATCTCCTACCTAGGATCTCAGGTTTTGTAGAGGCCTAAATGATGAGGAATCTACTTGTGTCTCTGAGCTTTTATTATTGTTAGATTCTACTTGCTTGGAACCCCTCAATCCAAATAAAAGAGTTTGGACCTTGGTGTCGAATGGCTCCTTTACTTGTACTTACTTTTTTAAGTCCCTTGGCTCTTCTCCCTCCCCTTGGGTTTTCCTAGTGCAAGAAATTTGGTCTAAGCCTATCCCCCCCAAACTAACTGCCTTTTGTTGGGAGATTTAGAATGGTAAGATTAATACTTTGGATAACCTACAAAAGAAGAGACCTAATTTGTGTCTATCCCCAAATTGGTGCACAATGTGTAAAGTGCAAAATGAGGACTATTACCATTTGCTACTACCTTGTTCCATCACTGTAGATATTTGGACTTGGGCATTCTCTTTATTTGGTTGCAGATGGAACTTTGGATAGCCTACAAAAGAAGAGACCTTATTTGTGTCTATCCCCAAATTGGTGCACAATGTGTAAAGTGCAAAATGATGTTACCATTTGCTACTACCTTGTTCCTTCGCTGTAGATATTTGGACTTGGGCATTCTCTTTATTTAGGTGCAGATGGAACTTGCTTTCTGAAGTAAAAATGCTCTTTGGTCCGTCAACTTTTCAGTGGCCAACGAAGAGAGGAAAACTGATGTGGAAATGCATATGAGCAACTACGGTATCGACTATTTGAGAAGAATAGAATGCTAGGGTATTCCAAGGAAAAGAAAGGACCCTTGAAGAAGTTAAAGAGAGTATTTTAACAAGGACCATCTTTTGGCTAAAGACTTCTGATTTGTTTGTAGATTATTCCTATGATGACATTTGGAGGGGTTGGATAATGGTGGCATCTGTAGACTCTAAGAAGATTAGGACACAAATAAGGTAGACACCTCCTCTAGAAGGGGTTGTAAAGCTGAACTTTGATGGTAGCAGCCAAGGCGACTCAGGGCCCTCATTTATTGGAGGGGTTTTGAGGGACAAGAACGTTAACCTTATCTCTTTATTCTCACGTTCAATGGGAGTTGGAGACTCAACAAGGGCTGAAATACTTGCAGCTGTACAAGGCCTACAAATTGCTAACCAACTTGTGGTGCAGAACCTACTAGTAGAAGGTAACTCCAAGGTGGTAGCGGGTTGGCTGTTGAATCCAATCAGTGCTGTTTGGAGGCTAGAAAGATCTCCTTAAAAAAGTAAAGTGGATCACAAGGAATATATCAGTCAATTTCCAGTGGATTAGTAGATCAGCAAATGCTTTGGCAGACTCTCTGGCCAAACAAGGGGTTTCTTGAGCTTCTTTGTATAGAGCTAATCTACAGTTCTGTTCTCATTTTGTTAAGACTTTGGGTTTGTACTCACCCTCGTTCCTCCTCCAAGGGGAGGTAGCACCTCATTCTTCCTCCAGGGCTGATTGTACTCTCTTTTGTTCTCTTTAATAAAACTATTTATTCATTCATCAAGGAAAAAAAAAACTAAACTATTAAATAAGATAGCGAAAGAAAAGAAAATTTCTAATGATTGGAGAAAAAGCAGTATGGTCCCTATATTTAAGAACAAAGGTGATATACAAAGTTGTAATAACTATCGAGAGATTAAACTGATGAGCACACTATGAAACTTTGGGAGAGAGTAATTGAACAGAAATTATGACTTGAAATAAGTGTATTAGAGAATCAATTTGGCTTCATGCCAAGGAGATCAACCATTAAAGAGAGAGATGATTGATAGAAAAGTTCAGAGAGAAGAAAAAAGTTCTTATGGTGCCTATTCTCATTGATCTAGAAAAGGCTTATGATAGAGTTCCTAGAGAGATAATATGGTGGGTCTTGGAGAATAAAGGGGTTTAAAATAGGTATATAGACCTAATTAAGGATATGTATGAAGGGCAATAACCAATATTAGAATACTAGTGAGAGAGACTTCAGATTTTATGGTTATGATGGGTCTTCACCAAGGTTCAACACTTAGCCTTTATCTATTTACACAAATCATAGATGAATTGACTAAACATATTAAGGAAAAAGTTCCATGGTGCATGTGACATGTACCAAGAGATAACCCAATGTGACCATTAAATGCAAAAATAAACTAATGGACAAATGCCTTAGAAACAAGAGGTTTTGAAGTAAGTAGGACTAAAATAGAGTATTTGACATGTAAGCGTAGTAATAATAAGAGTGTAAATTAGGACACTTAGGATTGGAACCAAGAGATAACCAATGTGACCACTTCAAGTACCTTGGTTCAATAATTCATAACAAAGGAGAGATTGAGGAGGATGCCACCTAAAGAAATAGAGAATGTTGGGCACAATGGAGGGGTGCATCTGGACTTTTGTGTGATAGACGAATACCACTTAGATTAAAAGGAAAATTCCATAAAACAATTGTAAGGCCAGCTATGTTGTATGGAGCAAATTGTTGGACAATCAAGAAAAAACATGTCCAGAAAATGAGTGGAAAAAATGTAAATGCTAAGATGGATGAGTGGAAAAACTATAAAGGATAGGATCACAAATGAAGTCATCCAATAGGAACCTAGGAGTAGCTCCAATCGGTGATAAAATAATGAGAGAGAGTAGACTAAGATGGTATGCTCACGTGATAGAAGACCAACGGCTCCAGTTAGAAGAGAAAGAAATTCAAAAATCTATATGCTCCAGTTGAATTTCTTACTACTACCAACAGCTCCAGTTAGATAGAAAGAGAAAAATGAAATACAAGATTAGCATACAAGGAAATGAAAAATCTATATGCTGAAGTAACCATAATCATCTGATCAATTCAAAAACTAATCATTCTATTACTTAAAAAAAGACTTATTGTTACTTCATGCACATAGAAGATATTAAAAAATCACGTCATTGCCCTTTCTTGGTTGAGCAACTGGACAACATAAAATGAAAAAAGAAAGCATTACCTATAGTTGTCTTTGAAGAAGTAAGAAGAGCCTGACTATACGTTCTGTGGCAAGACCTTAAGATTGACTCAATTGCAGATTTCACTTTTGGAATGTAATGCCCAATATGATGATCTGTAAGTGAATAAAGGTTAAGCAAAACAAGAATGTCAGACAGATGAATTAAAGTCAAAATAAGTGATCCATTACCTCGGAAAACCTCTAAGCCAGTATGCTGGCCAGAAGGAGACATGACGATCACAAGCAAAGCACGTAAGCCAATAACCTTTGCTTCACTCAAGCTATCTGGCTTTAACAATTCCAGTATCATATGATTCATGGCAAAATCTAGGTTACTTTCTGCTATAGTCACACAGAACTCTACAAGTTTATCATGTTGGACATCCTGAGTTAGCATTCCTTTCCTTAGAAATGTCAGTAGTTGGGAGGTGACACTATCTAGGTAGTCCCACACACGATTTCTGGGTTGATAATCTGCATAAACGCTTAAATAAAATCTCACAACTCGATGAAGGCAGTCCAAGGCCATGAAGCGTTGGTTCTTGTCCTGCATAAAAGAAGTGGGTTGCATTAGTTTTGCAAATTGCATACAGGACAAAAAGATTAAGAAACAGATCCACCCCTTGACAAACTGACATGAAAAAGGCACATGAAAGCATGGAAGAGTGAAAGAAACCAATTTTGTGGGTTGTTGTTGGAGGGTGCTCTCTTTTTCCCAAATTGTGTGATGCTGCAGTTGTTTTTCTTTGAGGACTGATATATATTAGCTACTGGTTTTGGATTTGTGGAGGCAACATCTGAAGCTTGTCATACAGGAGTTTTTCAGGGATTTTTTTTCCTTTTATTGGGGGGAGAGGTATGTAAAATTCCAGCATTTGTGCACCTCTTGTATATATTTCATCTTTGCTTTCAATTGTCTTTCATTATCCATAAAGAAAACACTCTGAAAGACCATATCTACCACCTGCTTTGCCCTCAGGTTCATACATCCAGTATAAGAAGCTTACTCTAAGATGCTTGTACAGATGCTCCATGTGAGGACCAAAGTTACTGTTGAAAGTTTGAGGATCGCCAAGACAGAGAAGAAGAGTCACCAAAGGGTAGCCAACCTAGGAAAAAAATCATTGCTAAGACAAAAATCACAATTGCAAAACAAAACTAAACAGGAAAGAGCCAAGTAAAAGGAACTCCAAAAAATGAAGTGCCTTTAGATCATAATAGTAAAAGAATGTAATTATCAACAATCCCTGTGGCATGCACATGCCAACAGAATTTCCATGTAGTAGCAATGTGTCCCATAATTTGCAAATTTGCTTTTAATTTGCACAAGCTAGAATTGATTAGATATAAAAGAACCAACAGTATCACAGGAGAGTAGCACATGATATACCAAAGCTTCCTAAAATATATGGATGACCAAAGTAGACACTATGTTTAGAAAATAGCGAAGAAGTAAATTAATGAGTTGCATTAGTAACAATATCATGAAGGTTAACAAAGCAGCATATGCATGATAAAGATCAAAATAATAAAGAGAATATGAATAAGAAAAAGGAGAAAAACATAGAAACCATAAAAGAACGATCATAGCACATTACCAAATAAAAAGTTAAGAATCAGACCTAGCAACTCTTTCTTGGTGGGGTAGAAGAGAGACATGATTTGATGTCCTAGTCACAACCAAGAATGTTATAATCTAAAAAATGACCATCAAACATCACCAAAGCATTAAATAAATGTGGGCTAACTACAAAGGCCTGTTCAACCAGTCCATTTCAAGATGTGCTCAGGGTCAAGACAATATTTTTTGAAGGATTCTATTGAATTCCTTTTTATGCACCTTTTTCTTATTAATAAAAACCCATAGCCATCAGCCAAGAGGCACAGACCAACACTTCATGCATATAGAATTCCAAACAAGTCCCTAGCTCCAAAATATGGCAGTAAATAGTCAAACTTTTTGGACATCAGTGGTTATTCCGAGCAACCTTTGCTCTCTTATTGATACACAGACAGCTCACAGTAATAGCAGCAAGTGTAACTCCTAAGGAACTTAGCTGCATTTGCCATCTGTTGGTGCACTTGAAAAGAAAAAGGCTGAGAGGATTTATAAAGATAAAAAGTGTTCAAATCCAGCTTCATGCGCAATGGCTCAAACTTAAGTTGTCAAAGCAATGCCTAGGCAACAAGGCGCCCTTATGGGAAGACAACACAAATAACAGATATTTATTTTGTAATTAGCTGCTGCTTTGTGATCTTTTTGTATATTCCCCAATGTACATTCCGTTGTTGTTGTACATGAGTGCTGCTTTTTTCTGATTAATGCAATATATACTTTATCAGTTTTCAAAAAAAAAAGTAGAAAATAAAACATATTAGCAGAAGGCAAAAATGTTCAGGAAGATTACGAAAGGTTTAAGACAATGCTGAAAGTAAAAGCACTTCCAGCATATGGACCTAAATGTGCATATAAAAACCTTTTAAGTTTTTTATTTTATAGATGAATGAAATTATCATTAATAAAAAGTAAGTGAGCATACAAACAACCTAAGAAGAGGCACGAGATGTGACCTCCTCTTTAAGGATGAAAGCAAAAACCCACACTAAACAGAAATCAGTTTACAAAGTAGCCCAATACAAAGAAACCCTTGAAACCCCTTGTTTAGCAATAGAATCATCCAAAGCATTTGCTGACCTTCTAACCCACTGAAAAGTAACTGACATGTTTCATGTAAGCTATTTAATTCTTTTTAGGAGACCCCTATAACCCCAATTAACAATATCCGGATTCGACAACCAACCCACAACCACCTTAGAGTCCCTCTCAATTAACAAATTCTCCACTCCAAGTTGGTTAGCAAACTGTATTCCTTGTACAGCTGCTAGTATCTCAGCCCTTGTAGAGTCTCCAACTCCCACCAGTCCAAAGAATAAGAAAAGAATGCTACCGTCCTTCTCTCTCAAAATCCCTCCTATGCCCGAGGGTCCTGGATTGCCTTGACTACTCCCATTGAAGTTTAGTTTCACTTTCACAACACCCTCTAGAGGGGGCAGCCAACTAGCTTGTATTCTACTCTTTAAAAGAAGTGGAAGCCACCACTGCCCAATTTCTCTTGAAATCATCAAGGGAATAATTCTCAAATAGAACTGAGGTTTTCAACCAAAGGGTTTCCCTTGTCAAAATACATCCCTTTACTTCAAAGAGACTCCTTTCCTTTTCTTCAAAAATTCTGGCATTTCTTTACTCCCAAATAGTCCATAACAGAGCTGCTCTAATACACTTACACATTAATTTCCCCCCAGAGGGCCATCCAAAAGTAGACGGACCAAAAAGCATATTTACATTGGATGGCAAGTTCCACCTACACCCAAACAACAAGAAAATCCAATTCCAAATAGCCACAGCAAAAGAGCAAGATATTAGTAGGGGTAAGCAAAAAAAACCAAAAAACCGACCAAAACCAAACCGAAAAATCGGTTAACCAAACCGGTCGGTTCGATTTTGGTTCGATGTTTTAAAAAACCACAGGTACCGGCTCAGCTTCGTTTAACCAATATAGAAAACCGGTGGTTAACCGAACCGACCAGTATATATATATTTCTATATACTAGTAATTAAGCACATGCGTTGCACGTGAGAAATTTTTCTTCACATTAATTACTTGAATTTTAGATATATCATAATTATGATAGAAATTGAAAATTAACAAAAGTAACAATATGACAAAATAAACTTAAATATTTATTATTCAATTATGACATCATGGGCTTCTTTGAAAAGTTGGATCACTGACCCACCGTCCAGATAACAAAACTTTGACCCAGTTCTACATTTCAAATTATAAAAACCTTTGCCATGTCATCGGAGGCTTATGTGGTTGTTGCCAACATGGGACTCTTAATCCATGTTGGACACAACAAAACGCTTACACTGAAATTGCCCTTTAATGTTGGGTGATTGGAAAATAAATTTAGTTTCTCTCTCTCTCTCATCTTTATCTACTCAACAACTATGTAATTTGAAAATAAATAAAAATGGTTTATGGTTTCTGCATTTGCGTTCTCTATATCAATTACTCTCATTCTCTCTCTACTTATCGTTCTCCCTCAATTTCTCTCATTCTCTTTCTTGATCGATCTCTCATTTTCCCTTAATTTCTATTGTTCTCCCTCAGTTTCTCTCCCGCTCCCTCTCTCGTTTTTTTTTTTTCTTACACACTTATATGGTATTAATCAGATTGTATAAAAGAACATGAGACCAACTTGGTATGGTTCAAAAATCATTACACCAATTTGATAAAAATTCACAAGAAGCTCTTGGCTATGAAATTTACACCTCACCAATTGGAGAACAATAGAGATTGAGGGAGGAGATATTGACCGAGAGGGAGAATGAGGGATAAGAATGAGAAAGATTGAGGGAGAACAATAGAGAGAGAGAGGTTTTGATTTGACTATAGACCGAAGTTGAGAGTGGGAGAGACAAAGGGAGCGGGAGATCAAGAGATGACTATGAGAGTGAGAGAGAAGGGATGGAGATCGAGAGACAGAGGGAGTGGGAGAGAAACTGAAAACCTATTTTCAGTATAGGTTTTTTGTTGTGTCCAACATGGATTGGGTCCCATGTTGACAACAGCCACATAAGCCTCCAATGACATGGCAGGGATTTTTATAACTTGAAATGTAGAGTCGATTGTCAGAGTTTTGTTGGTTTATAGACCAACCTGCAACCTAATTTTAAATGTACAACTGACTTTGACTATAATTTTCCCTTTAAATTATATATTTCATTTACATTATATAAAATATTTTTTACTTATCACACTTAATTTTTGTTTGTCTATGGTATCATTTGACTCAAACCACTAGCCCACCATCTAAAAATAAAAATTGTTTGCTTTCTAGGTTGACATTACATTTCCATCATTAATAAAATTACTTCGTATGTATAAAAGTTAATTTTGTTCAATATAATGAATGCGCAATATTAGAGATGTACCCAATATTTTATTTTTTATAAATATATAACATTAGATATGTGCCCAAAATTTTCTCTATCTTTATTTTATTTTTGTGACTCTATGTATTTTTTATTATTAAAAATTTTATTATTTGGCTATGACATCATTTCATTTCTAGGTAGATTTTGAATTTGGCTTTCCATTTTCATCATTAATAAAAATACTTCTTACAGTCATAGTTATTTATTTTAATTTTTATTATTTAATTATGGTATTATTTATTAATCCATTTGACCCAAATGGTTGGATTGCTTACCTGCCACCGGGAGAGAAGAAAATGGTTTTGTTTTCAAATTACTTTTCAAAATATTTATTTTTATACTATGAAAATTAATATTGTGCATTTAATTACAAGAATTTTATGATGAGAAAAATATATCTTAAATATAGGATTTAAAGAGAGAGAATAGGAAAATATTTTTATTTCAACTGGTTTTAAATTCCATTTACATCATTAATAAAAATATTTCTTATCTATCATACTTATTATTGTTTAATATGTGTGTTTAAAATGTTCCCAATTTTTTTTAATTTCTATTTTTTCATTTTATCTATTTTTTAATTTTATTATTTAATCGTGGCAACATGGATTAACCCATTTGACCCAAAATGATTTAATTTCTTACTACCACCTAGATGAAAACACTATTTTTGCTAAGTAGATTTTAAAAATATAATCTTTTATGTTATTAGAATTATTAATGTATTAAGTATGGATTTAATTAATAGAACTTAATGATGAGAAGAAACAAAAATGACTTAAATATATGATTCAATGAACATGAATGCAAATTAATAAATTAAATGTTGGATTTAATGAATGAGAATTGAATGCATTGAATATCTTTAAATTACCTCTTTTCAACTCATTTAATATCAAGAACCGATTACCCTATTTGCCATCATTTTTTATCAATAAATTTAAATATAGAGGGGTAAATTTTGTCCTTAGAAAAATCCAGAAATAGTTTTGAGGCCATTCGTGCTTTCTAAAGTAGTATAGATTTTATATATATTTATGCATATTATATATATTTTATATAATTTATATATTTTTATATATTATAAATTAATAAATATACATTATCTATAAATATATATATTTATAATATATGATTTATTATTTGTTATTTAAAATATAATATGTTATATATATTTATAATTTTTTATTATATATTTTTATAATATATATTAGAAAAATTAAAAAACCGAAAAACCAATGAACTGAATTGACGGTTAATCGAATTGGTCAACCGGTTAGCCGATTGGCTTCGATTCGGTTTTGGTTACCAGTTTTCCAAAAACCGGTAGTACTGGTTCGGTTACAAAAAAAGGCTCACAGTTCGATTAACCAAACTGTGAGCACCCCTAGACATCAGCAGAAGCTAACAATCCTCACTCCACACTTTACAAAGAGTACAACAATTTGGGGACAAACACCAAAGATTTCTTCTTTTGCAAATTATCCAAAGTATTAATCTTACCATGGTAAACCTCCCAACAAAAAAAACAAAAGAGCTAATTTAGGGAGAACGAGCCTAGACCAAATTTCTTAAACTAGAAACACCAAAGGGGAGGGGTTAGAGCAGAGGAACTTGAAGAACGGGGCACAAGTAAAAGAGCCACTTGGAGTCAAGGTCCAAATTCTTCTGTCAGGTTTAAGTGGGTCGAAATAAACAAAATCAAGTAGAACTAAAAGCTCAGCAACACAAGCAAATTCCTCTTCCCTCGACCCTCTACGAAAGCCAAAGTCCCAATTCAACAACAAAGGGAGGATTGGGAGGAAAGGAACCTAAAGACAAGCTCCTTTTTAAAGATGGAGATAGAAACCTTTTAAGTCTTGACTAACTAATAATGGAATAATTTGAGAATGTAAGTCTGAAACTTATGTTATCAAAAAAGAAAAAAGAAAGTCTGAAATGTGAAAACCAAATAATCATCCAAAACACAGTCCATACAGGTGAACAGAGGAGAGATCATGTAACATGGTGATGTGCCACGATCACAACGGGACCTTCCGAACAAGGTGGTGTGCCAAGATAAGAAATATTGGCTGCAGCATATAGAGTTGAGAAGGCTAAAGAGTTGGGTATTGATAGACAGATCATTGAGGGTCACCCGAGAACTGTTGTGAATTGGCTGAAGGGGGAGGGGTGACATGGCATCTGAGGAATGAATTCAGGTAATTTAAATTGTTCTCAAAGGACATGACAATCCAAGTTAAATGGGTGAGCAGAACTACCAACAGCTTGGCAGATGGTCTAGCTAAGCAAGGGGTACAAAGAACACATCTGCATTGGACTCAATTGTAATTCTTAGCTTGGGTCTTTTTTAAAGCTGTGTTTTTTCTTTTTCTCACAATCTCTTGTTGTAACCATGCTTTCTTTTTATTAAAGAAATCACTTCTGTGTTGCTGATCAAAAAGAAAGAGAGAGCATGTAACATGTTTCTTATCCCAAGAGTGGTATTTAACTGATATTCTTTCTCCAACCAAGTAGCAAAGTCTAAAGCTAACAGGGAACTAAAATAAAAATGATCTGGAAATTTAAACCAAGAAATTTCATTTGGTAAAGAAATCACTAAAACAGCAGAGGCTGCTTCTCATAAATACTCAGATACAGAATCATTGAGATTTTCAAAATCAGAAAATGAGATTAATCATCTAAGATTTACTTACAGCGATATGTTTGCTCTGTTTCTCCATCCAATGCAAAAGTTGCACCCTTATACGAGCAACAGCTTCGTACCATAGAGTAAGTGCAGGGTCCACCCCTGATGGGGGCCACTGGCTTTTTCCACCATCTGCAAGTGGTGCTAGAATGCTTGAGAGCATATTGCACAGTGCATGATGTAATTCACTTTTCCTTTTATGTGGAGCACGATTCAGGGGGTTTGCTTTTGCCACGAAGGAAGCTGACGCATTCAGTCCACCTTCTGTCTTAACCTGGCATTTAACTAATGGTTATTTCCTCAGCTTTGTGGACAATTACTAGAAAACTCATGGTCCACATACCTACCCCCAGCTTAAGGTAGCGCATCCCATTAATTATACTTAGTGTTTCACTTCTGGCAATATTGCTATCAATACGGCGAGCATTGAGTTCCATGAAAAAGCGCTCCGTGACAGAACTAAATCTATAGAAAAATAGCAAAAACAATTAAACTCGATATACAACTCTATTCTTGACTCAGATATCTAATAATACTGCTGCTCAAAAAACAAATTCCATGCAATCAATTATTGTTGACCCACTGATTTATAAACAAAACTTTCCAATTTAAGCTAACAAATCTTCATGAATTAGTTCAACGTTCAGTTAAAATTTTCTTTATGTACCATTTGATTGGAAAAATGAGAAGTCAGTCCTAGAAACAAGAATTTTTGTCAATACACTGCCAATTCAGTCAGTGGCGCAATTTACCTTCCTTCAGACAAAGATCACATACTCTTGGAGAATCTTAGATTTTTAGTCCCATAAAATGAGCTGTTTCTTTAAGGAAACATGCTTATTGACCCTTTAAATACCTAGAGCAAAGTTCTCCAGTAGGTACTGCCATACTGGCAGAATCTTTCACTTCAAACCAAGGATTAAAGAACATATCTATAATTCTATATAATGCATCTTCAGATGCAGTTTCAGGCACCTTATTCAAGTGCTTAAATATCACAGCCCAATAAAAGCAAAAGTCCAATTGAAGTTGCCAAGTGCTTTGTTTCTTTCAGCCCCTCAATCAAGTAACCTGGAGCATCTCCGACATCTGCATGGCTAACAATTCCTTGATTAAAAAGAAACACCCATTTACAGGATTTCTGAAAGGACTTGAGATATTGGATATGAAGTAATTATGATGCATATAACTTCTCCAAGAATCTCCTTCAGCAGATGGAACTGGGGGTTTATTGCTTAGCTCCAACAGTGGTCTAATATGGGTGTATAGTGGCCCTACCTCAGCAGCAGGTGCAGCAGGTGCTGAGTTCTTTGCCCTTTAGAGGGACTTAAATTTGCCAAATCTCAGCAGTTTAGATCCCTAGTAGCTGAAGAGGACTCTAGGAATGCCATAAATTGGGCCAATGTTCGTGTTTCTGGCCAGTAGAAGCTCTCCCACTTTCTTCATGAAATTCAAGAGATCTGTAATATGAGTTTCAGTTTCAGATGGATCCCCATAGAATTAAATCAGGTGGCAGATGGTCTGTTTTGTTTTTTTTTTTTTTGGTAAAGAGATAAATCTGAGTTTGGAGGGACTTTTTGTACAATGCAAATATGATGCCTTATGGGTAACTGGGCTTTTCTTTTTTGTGTTGCCAAGGCCTTTTTAATACATCCTCTTATATACATCCTTCCCTTGTTTTGATTATACATAATGAAATTATGACCGTTCTTCAAAAAAAGAAAGAAATAGTTTAATTGACTTAAGAGAATTATGATTAGGTATTAATTGTAGAGCATACCTGACTGCTCCAAAAGAGAAAATAGTCACAGATTAGGGCATTTAACTATCCTTAAAATTTTATTAAGCATGTAATAACTAGTACCAATGAATAAACTGGAGATTTTTTGGCTACCTGATCCGTGACAATGCCCCTAGTAGCTGTGCAACTAGGTCCAGAAGGAGTCCTCGCAAATCAACCAATGAGGGATATTCAACCTGGCTTACAACCCTGCAATTAGTAAGCATTTCATCAATACCAAGGAATAAAGTAAATGGAAATCCTAATGTTTAACCTTGAGGATACTATGAATTGCATATTTTTCCCTAAGACCAACAAAAAGACAATTGTTCAGAAAGGTTCAGTATTCAAGGTTGGGCTTCTATATTACATGCTTCAGTCCAGGGAAATAGAATTAAAATAAAAAGAAGTTACAAGATCAGGTCATAAGAAACCACCAGACACGAGAGAAACAAATAAAAGACAACTCCAAACAGTTCCATGCAAAATCAACAAAAAGATAGCTTTTCAAGTCAATCCCAACACACGGTACACCCTAAGAATAACACTTGCAAAATATCCCCTGAAAGTCTTCTATCCCTGCATAACAAAATCTTTAACACCAATCTACCCTTTCCATAACAGGACAATGGCTGGAGTGGAAAGGTAGCTTCTTCCTCATCCTTTTTCTCCTTGGAAAGCAATCCATGAGGTTTACCCTTGCCCAATTTTCCTTAATTTTACCCATTTTGATGTTGGGGTGGGAATAGAGTCCATCTTTGGGAGGACCTCCGGTTGGGTGAGTCTCCTCTTAAAGTACAGCTCCCTTTGCTTTATACTCTCTTCAACTACAAACTTGAACCCATACCAAAGTTTTTCCTTGTGGGGTTAAATTGGGACTTTGGGCTTAAATTAGACTTGGTGTTTTTGGTTCAAAATCTGGAGGATACAAGAGTTTGATTTGCCTCTCCTAATGGCTTTCTTTACTTGTGCTTCCTTCTTTAATAAACTCTTACTTTCCAATCCTTTGGAGTAGAATTTTCTAGTGAAAGAGATTTGGAGTAAACCCATCCCACCCAAAGCTCAAACTTTTGTTGGGAAGTTTTTATTGGAAAGATAAATACTTGTGACATGCTGCAAAGAAGGCCAAATAAATGTCTTTCTCCTCCTATCTGTTTCCTTTGTAAACCAACCAGTGAAACTATCTTCCATTTACTAATCTCCTATCCTTTCATTCACTTTGTTTGGGAGTACTTTTGTTCTCTCTTTGGGTGAAGGTGGGTCCCCCCCAAGATGTGATAAATCATTTTAGCTCGAGTTTTTTGAAGAAGCCAAAGAAAAGAGGGAGAGTTACATAGAAGGCAGTTAGAGGCCCTAGGGCAGCTTTGGTGTGGACAATTTGGGAAGAAAGATCCAAGGAGAAACTAGTAGACTCTATAAAGATCAAAGTAAATTTTTCAAGACTTCTTAGTGAATATTAATAAGAATTTGGGCTGAAGTGGCACAATCATCTAAGGTGAAAAACAGGTCAGTTGTGGGGTGGAAACCTCTACCAAGAAACACGATCAATGATGTTATAAGAACTTGGGCTGAAATGTACAATCATCAAAGGCAAAAAACAGATCAGTTATGACAATTTTAAAAATCAAAGTGGCACACTGGGTAAAAACAAAGGAACTTTTTCAAGACTTCTCTGTGAATGATATTTTAAGAACTTGGGATGAGCAACACAATAATCTAAGGTGAGAAACAAGTTGGTTATGGAGTGGAAACCTCCAACAAGCAACACAATAAAGATGAATTTTGATGGGAGCTCTATGGGTAAATCCAGGGCCAGCAGATATAGGGGGTGTTTTCAGAGATTCCTCAGAAGGGTGGGCGCTATGGACTGAAGACTTATTGGTGTGGATGATTCTCTAAAAGCTGAATTGGTGGCCTTATTGCAAGGTCTTAGATTAGCAAAGCAATCTGAATTCTGCCTTCTGGAAGTAGAGGGGACTCAAAACTGATCATCATTTGGGTGAAAGGCATTTGCAAAGTCCCTTGGATGTACAGGCATATTTTCAGGGAAATAGAAGTTCTATCAAGGGGAGTTAAACATCTCCTACAATTTGGGTTAGAAGAATTACAAATAGGATGGTAGATACACTTAGCAAAACAAGGGGTTAAAAGACTTCATTTGATTTGGGCCATAGTTTGAATTATGTGTATTCTACTTTACTGATAAAAAAAAATACATCCATGTTCCATTTCTAATTGATAAAACCATCCTATTATCCCAAACACCCTAGCCCCCAATAATTTCAGAAATGTGATTTCTAATTCATCTGAAACCAAATTAACACCAACTCCAATATGCTAATTTGATTTCTCAAAAGACCTTTTAGACTCTATAACTCCCAGTTCCAAGAATACCTTTCTAGCAAATTCCACCCCCTTACGTCCCACTTCAACTTCTTTATCAATAAACCTTCTTATATCTATCCTGTTATCAATCTGAACAACTTCATCAACTAAACACCTTCAACATTTTGATGTTCTGTTGATTCCTCCAAATATTTCCCTCCATTATTTTTTTCTTTTTTGATCAATAATTGAGAGATGGAATTATTTCTCTCTGGGTGGGAGGGTAACTCTAATGAAATCTATTATGGCCAACTTACCCATTTACTTTCTGGCCACTTTTCGTATTTCAATAAAAGTGACCAGGATGCTAGAGAAATATATGAGGGATTTCCTTTGGGAACCAGGAGAAGAGAGGATTATCTGGTAAAGTAGGAGTTGGTGAGAAAATTGAAGGAGAAGGATGGCCATGGGCTAGGAACTAGGAATGTGATTCACAGAATTATGTCTCTGCTAGGAAATTTGTTGTGGTCGTTGCCAACCGAAAGGGACAGGAGGAGGCTATGGCACAGGGTCATTGTAAGCATACAGGGTACTTAGGACAATGGCCAGGATGCAAAGGTAGCTTCTCGTTCCTCTTCAACTTCTCCATGGAAATCAATACAAGAGGTACTTTGTTTAGATATGATGTGGGGGATGGAGAACAAGTTCATTTTTGGGGGAATCTTTGTTTAGATGAGTCTCCTCTCAAAATTCAATTCCCTTTGCTTTACTCCTTGTCCAACTATTTTAATGCTTAGCAAGGGAGATGGATGTCATATTCAATTGGGTCAGGAGAACTGCAAATGGGATGGTGGATTCATTGGCTAAACAAGAGGTTAACAAACAGCAATTGTTTTCAGCTACAGTGTAATTCAATTTCCTGCTGTAAAGCATGGGCTGTTGAATTTCTGATATGTTTGTACTAAGACAGAACTGCCAAACTTAATTCAATTTACTGCTGCAAATTTCTTCCTCGCTGATCAAAAAAGTACAATATTATATACAAGGTACACTAATAATGGTGTACAGGATGTCTTGGAGCAGTCCATACTGCTTCCCCTCTGAGTGAGCAGATCTAGGTATCCAGAAGGAAGTGCCAAATGCCTTGCTTCCTGATATGATAACCAAGCTTCCAAGTTCCTTCCACTTCAACTTTTAACCAGAGATTGAATACGTCTTTGAGTCCCCTTCAACTATTAGGCCCACAAACCAACTGAAGTAGCCGCTTTCAAACCTTGAACCACAACTTGTAGTTCTGCTCATATAGAGTTACCAAAACCTAATAATCCAGATATTGCCACTTTGATTTCCCTTCCTAGGGCTGCAGCCATCAAAATTCAATTTGATTCCATCTAGTGGAGGGTGTATCGATGCCATATTCAAGCTCACTCTACACATAGATGAGACTAACAATGCTGACCATCCTCCATATCATCAGTGGGAAAATACAATACTCTTCCCTAGTTTCCACCTGATAAACGAGTCTAATTTCAATCAAGTATATTAATGAGTCTGGACTAATATTTGTCAAAATAGAATTTAGCATCCATTCTTCCCATACAGCCCAAAGAATAGCAGCTCTTGTGCAAATACATAGGATTTTACCCTCCTTTATTCTAGGAGAGAAGAAGTTTGTACTAATTAAGGCATCAATATCTGTAGCGAGATTCCACCTAACATCAAATATAGCAAAACAAAAGTTCCCAATGCTAATCATGATAAAACAGGAGATTACTAGGAGGAATTTATCCCCCCCATTACATCCTCTTTTAAAAATTTTCTAAGCTCTCAATAACTGGCTAAGTTCTATATTTTTTTACTAAAGGTGTTATCCACCCAAAATTCTGACAGATATCTTTAAAGACAAAAGAGTTTCCATCAGCACAGGGTGATGATAATATGTTCCACCCGAGAAGACTGAGTGTTTCTCTTTTCTGTGGCACAAGCCTCTGAAACATTTACCAGTCAGAAAAACATTTCGTAATATCATTTAAATAAGGGCTGACTTGATAAGTATTTGCATACATACCCATATGATATGCCGCTGAAAAAATTTGTCTCTAGGTTGACATTCAAAGAAATAGAGTTATAACTACCTTTTTAACCATGGAAAACCTGGATCATAGTCTTCAGTTAATAAGACAGGGTTTTGCAATCCAAAGATCCAGTGGATTTTCAATTAAAGAACTATATGTGATTTCAGTATTAGTGCAATATAGGTCCAAACAGATTCACTCGAAATGAGCAGATAGATAGCATTTAGAGGTAAAAAATGAATGAACAAAACAATAAAAAACAGATGATTCCATGCTCTGAATCATAATATTTCACAAGTACCCAAGGCCAAAACAAGAGTAATACCACTGTGACAATTTTATTTGTTCCCATTAACAATGGTGGAATGTTAATTTATCAGTATACAGACCAGAACTTCACATAGTTGCTGAATATCCAGTCCATAATAATTAGTTGTAAAAGATGTTCCAATATAAAAATGAAACTTTTTATTAGCAAGGAAGGTCAAATAAGTGGATATACACCTAAATGACAATCATTGGTGAACGTGGTTATCCTCTCCTGTACAAAGATATTTTTTAATCAATGACAGAAAAATTCAATTTATTAATGAAAAAAGATAATTACAGCACTCCGGGAAGAGATAAAATGGCTTAACTCTCCCCAAAAGAACAGAAATATGAATATAATATAGCCCTAAACATTTGATCCCTTTCCACCCCCTGCTTTGCCAAAGTATCTGCAAAAGCATTTGCAGTCCTCTTCACCCAATGAATCTGAACTTCCAACCCCCTAGTTAGCCACTTAACCTCCCTTCTCATTGGCATATTTCCAAAGTCCATTGTCCTTCTGTAACCAACTTTGAGTCTCCTTCAACAACTAGCCTTTGGATATTCAGCTCCTTTATCTTCCTCAGACCTTCCATTAAAGCATATACCTCATTTCTAAGAGAGTCACCACTCTCAAGGGGACCTAAATACAATGCAATCACCTTCCCATTCTCATCTCAGAACACACCACCAGCTCTTGAGGGCCCTGGATTGCCCTCACTACTACCATCAAAAGTTAACGTTATAAACCCAGAGGCTGGTGGTGACCACAGAGGAAATGCAGTTAATGTAATAGGAGCAAAGTTTACAACCTCCAACCAACTATTCAGCAGCATATCCGTAAATACATCAGCAAACATTTCCAAGGATTTTAACCAATGCACCATCCTAACCATTATTACCTCAATGACACCTTTATTCCTTTCCTTATCAGAAAATGACCTTGAGTTTCTTTCCATAAAGTCTAGCAAATGGCAGCCCTCACACACCTCCACATAATCCTACCCCTTTTCTTCGGCTATCTAAGGAAAGAAGTAGCAAACAAGCTTTGTATATCCGGTGAAGGGATCCACCTATAACCAAATAAAGAAAAAAAAACCAGTCCCGTATATCAAAAACAAAAGGGCAAGAAATTAATAAGTGGTAGGAGTTTTTACCATTAACCTTGCAAAAGGATGCACCAACTTGGGGGGGAAGCATCAATTAGGCCTTTTTCCTCTGGAGTAAGTCACAAGTGTTACATCTTTTCAGGAACGCTTCCCAGCAAAATGTTCCAATCCTTGGAGGGATCGGCTCACCCCAAACTTCCTTTACTGGAAAAGTTTGTATGAAGTTGTTGGTAGGTTGCACCAGGGACTTAAAGAAAGAAGCACAGGAGAATGCCCCAGAAGGGGATAAGGTCCAAATTCTATTATCCCTCTTTGAAGGATCCAACACCACCCCATTCAAAATCTGAATTAGTTCCAGAACATTTCCAAATTTTGACTCCCTAAGGCCTCTTCTAAGACCCAAATCCCAATCAAGCCCAAAGTTTGAGTCAGAGAAAACCAAAAAAATCATACACAAACTTCCCATTACACCAGGAGAGGGAAAGTAAAGAGGAAATCAAACTTTCAAAGGTACATCCCCCACCCAAAGGTGTTCCCAAAATTTTACCTGATTTCCAAAACAAAGGTCAACCTGATGTATTGCAAAAATGATGGAATAATGGCATGTATGAATTTCCAAGGAGAAGCTATAGTAGTCCTTGCCACAACCCCAGAGTCCCAACCATCATCTGCCTATCCATGAATACTCAAAATTACCTTAGTCCACAACTTATCATTATTCCCTCCAAACCTCCACAGCCATTTCCCCAATTCACCCTATGATCTTTCCTATCCTCCCCTAGCTCCCACAAGAAATCTCTCATTGGTTTTTCAAACACTCTACTTATTCTTTTTGGGATCCTAAAAACAAATAGATAATATGCTAGCAAGCTAGAAAATGTAGACTTGATCAAAGTGATTCTGCCACCCAGAGAAAAATAATTCTTCTTCCAAGAGGCTAAACTTTTCATGAACCTATCAATTACCGGGCTCCAAAAACTGTCATTCCTCGAATTATCCCCTAAAGGCATCCCCAAGTAATTCATAAGCCACTGTACAAAGATAACCTAATTTTTTTTATCAACAAGTACCATTGAAAGATAATGTGCAAATGAAGGAAAAAGAGTTGAATGTGTAGAATAAACATGCAAATTATACACATAAAATAATAAACCCATCTCAAACAGCCCCACCTGTCAGCATTGATTAGCCAGTCGAAAACGAAGTTTTCAAGTCCAGACCAAAGCTTCTCTGCAATGAGGAGAAAACCATGATTTTTTGACTAAGGTGTCCAGATATGGTCAAAGAGGCTAATATCAATAAAACAAACAAACCTGTAAGCCCCTCTTGTGGGCAACACTCAACGAAGCGAATACATGCCGAGCAAAATATGCACTCCACTGCCAGCTGAAGCAAACAAAGATACATCATTGAACTTGAATATAAATAAGGTAAACATTTCTTAACAAAGATATGATATGTATTAAAAGAAGGCAACTTGTCATAGGATTAAGTCACATTCAACATAGGACAGAAAGTTAATGCTAGAAATCCTATACCCTCCCTACTCCCTAGCTGATAGTGGAAGGAGTTGGAAAGGTGAAGTTATATAGGAGACACTCCATCCCATGTTAGCTATTTCTTTTTCTTTTGATATGATATGTACATTTCAGTTTGACCTTTTCATTTCAAGATGCTAGATATCTAGTGCCTTCGTTGTAACCTAGGTGATTGTATTTTTCTTCCAGCTTTTGAGCTCTTTTAATCTTGTTAATGATTAAAAAATGCAAAAATGCTGGTACATATATATATATATATATATATATATATATAGGTAGGTAGGTAGATAGATAGACAAACATACTTGTACTGTTCATATATGTACACAAATGTATACATATTTATCTGCCACTGCAGATATAACTCCAGCCATTTATAAGATATAAATCAAGATATATTTCTCTTAAAATTTTATTCAACATTGTGAATTATGTATCCATAGACACATGCATGTGCATTATGTATTAGGTTAGGTTTATTTAGCAGAAAAACATTAAAATGGGAAAAGAAAATGCCTGAAAATTAATATATGGACTACTTGATAAGTATACACAAGCATAATTAAGGTTGAGTGAGGCTCTGGCCCAAGGAGGCAATGCAAAGACGAACTTTTTGCGGAATTTAAATGCTGTGCGCATATTGATGGAGGTGTCAGAAATTCAGTTGGTGCCTTCTCTGCTTTCCCTTCATTTTGTGGGGAAAAGTTATGAACTGAGACTAGTAGTTAAAGGTTCCTACCAAGGTGGGTGGATGATTTTCTTCAATGCAAGGGACCTACCAGCGAAAGTGATCAGACCTTTGTTGTTGTAGGTAAGAAGCCGAACAGTCAGGAGGTGGAAGGAAGAACTGAGGTTGACGATGAGAGCAATTTTGGTATTTTAGGAAAGTTGAGTGAGGCTGGCCCAAGGAGTCATTGTGAAGATCGAGGTTGGAGGAAATTGAAGAGTTGTGAAGTAAGTGGGGCCCAGCTGAACCTGGCCAACTTAACTGCTAATTCAGGCCTGCTTACTTTAGTGGGTTGTGGTTCTGATGTGGAAAAGGTCGAGGGGTATGAGGAAGGTTTAATTGAGAAGAAAGCGGTGGATTCCGAAGAGACACTTAGGACCACTAGGTCAAGTGGAGGGCCGAGTCGGACCTAGATCCTAAAAGTTGATTGTTATGAAGGAAGGCCAATTGGCGTACAAAAGATAAAGTGAACAAAAATTGGTCTTTGGGTTTCAAGCAGCCAAAGTTTAAATGGTTCAGAACTTTCGGTAAAAGTTTTCCAAGGGAAAAGGGAGAAGCTTGGGTCTGGGCGATCACCAAGTACAATAGGAATGGTGCAAAGAGGTTAGTTAAAGGAGTTGGGATGGAGCATGACGATCGTTGTCTTCCTCCAGTTGATAGTGCTTCAGGCCTCAGTTCTAAAGATGTTGGAGATTCCTTGGCCCCTGTTCGGGTCGAGGAAAATGCAACAAAGCCTTAGGAAAACACGGATGTTCCAGAAAAGCCTGATCTTATTGCACCTCGAGAGGTTCCTTCAGCCAAGCTGATAAAGTTGGGAGAGGGGGAGGAGGAGATCGAGGTAGAAAGTGTCTCTGTCGGTGCTAAAAACAAGATCAAAGATGAAGTTGTAGAAGGGAGGGCTGTCAAGGCAGGCAGCTCACGGCTGCAATGGTTTCTAGGACAAGAATCTAACCGGTGACAACTTGTGTTTTGAAGAGGTGAAGGTTGGAAGATTGGGCATCGATCTTGGTCGGAGGAGCAAGGTTGATGAGAAGAGTGAAGTATAATGGGTTAACTAGCAAGAAAGCACGGGTTTCAAGAAATCCTCATGTTGTTTGTGACCAAAATTTTTCCTAGTTGAAGCTTGGTCTAGTGGGGGCAGGACCTACAAAAGGTTTTAAATGGATTTACAAAAGAAAAGGATTGAGAGGCGTTTCTCCATCAGAATCTGGTCTTTGTGGAGCAATGATTTAATCCCAACCACTGGATCCCCATCTGGGTAAGGTGCATCAAGATGAGAAAGAGAGTTTTGAAGGTTCTAAAGTTGACAAGAATTCAATGGCGAAAAAGAATGAAGCTTTGCCTCTTTAGAAGTTAGTGGAGAAAGAAGTTGAGATTGGCAAAAGCCTTGGCTTATTTTTTTGGGGAGGTTAGGAATTTGCTATGAAGGCCTTTGAGGAGTTCGAGAGAAATAGGAAGGAAGAGAGTTTGAAGATAGCAGTAATTGGGGAGGGAAGAAAGAAGTAGGATGAGGATGTCAATAGGCAGGATGGAGTGTTCAAAGGTGAGTAGGGAGATGATGTCAGGGTTATGCGATTCAAGGAGCTGGGTGAAGGTGATCGGAGTCGGACATGTGCTTTTTGTTTTTGTCTTGTTTGGCTGTAATCCGGTGTCAAAGGTAGTGAGTTTGTGTTTGCGTCTATTGCTTTCTCTTGGGTGATTTCTTATCACCTTTCTCTTGTATTCTCTTTTTCTTTTAATGAATTTATCTTTATTCTTCAAAAAAAAAAATAATTAACCTAATATGATTCAAGAACCTTCCACTTGGGTGTTATCCAAGTTCATGGAGTTTGGTGCCTTCTTGGGGGTGTCTCTTAAGGACATGGAGGAGCTGACGAAGTCGTATCTTGTAGTGGTGGAGAGAAGAGTGCTCGAAGAAAAAGGGAAGAAAGGGAGGAGGACAGAAAGGGAGCTGTTTAGATTGTCTTGGGGCCTTAACGAAGTTGCTAGGGGTGTAGCGAGGGGAGGAAAGGAGGGATTAAGGGGTAAGGCTTAAGGGGAGGGCGGGGATGGGAATGGACCACCAAACTAAACTGTCTCTTCTTTCAAATGAAGATTGTCTCTTGGAATATCAGAGGTCTGAACTCAGGCAGGAGAATGGTGGTGGCAGGGGCACATATAAGCAAGTGGAAGGCGGATATCCTTTGTCTCCAGGAAACCAAAATGGATACTTTGGATGCCCAGAAAATAAGAAGCGTTTGGGGAGAACGTGATTGTAATTGGGAAGCTTCCCATGCAGTGGGGACTGCAGGTGGGATAATAGTTATCTGGGATTCAAATGTGGTAGAAGTAAAGGGTAGGAAGGTGGGTCTTTTTTCTATTTCAATTTGGTTCCAGTTGCTCAAAGATGGTTGGGATTTTGTTTTAACTGCAATATATGGTCCAAATGTGAACTCCTAAAGTGATTTTTTCTGGCAGGAACTTGTTGAAGTAAGAGAAGAGTGGAATATGCCTTGGGTGGTAGGGGGGGATTTCAACACTACTCGTTTTGAGAATGAGAAAAAAGGGGAAGTGAGATCCAGGAGAGCCATGAGGGGTTTTGCCAGCTTTATGGAGAGATGGGAGTTAGTGGATCTTCCTTTGATTGGAGACAAATTCACTTGGACAAACAATCAGGAGGATGCAACTCTTATGAAGTAGACCGTTTTGTGGTGTCTACTGAGTGGGAAGAGAAGTTCCCTAATCTGTCCCAAGAGGCCCTTCCTAAACCTTTAACAGATCATATTCCCATTTGCCTGGATTGCGGTGGCATTCAATTCAAGCCAGTGCTTTTCAGATTCGATAACTTGTGGCTTGAAGAGGAAGGTTTTGTGGAGCAGTTGAGAAATTGGTGGGAAGGTGTTTCTGTGGAAGGAACAGCTAGTCATGTGTTTGGCAAGAAGTTGAAGGCCTTAAAGGAGCAAATTAAAATCTGGAAGGATTCTTTTAAAGGGGTGGAACAGAAACTGAAAAGTTGTTTAGATACAATAGTCGAAATCAACAGAGCTAAAGAGGAGAGGCAGTTAACTCAGGAAGAAAAAAGGAAGAGACAAGGAGCCAAGCTGGATTTCGACAGAACAGCCTATCAAGAGGAGACAAAATGCAGTGTTCCAAATATTTCTGGTTAAAAAAGGGTGATAACAACACAAAGTTTTTTCATAAATTAGCTAGTGCTAGGAGAAGGGAAAATATTCTGAAAAAGTAGGTTGTGGACGGTGTGTTGTTGGAGGTAGACAGAATGAAAAGCCATATTGTGGAGTTTTATGAGAATCTTTACAAGGAAGAGTGGGATAACAGGCCAAAACTTGATCGCCTGGAGTTTGATGGCCTCTCAGAGGAGCAAGCTGCAGATTTGGAGAGAGAATTTGAAGAAAGGGAGATTTGGGAGGCTTTAAAAGAGATGGAAGGAGATAAGGCTCCGGGTCCGGATGGGTTTACCATGGCATTCTACAAACACTGTTGGGGTTTTCTAAAGAATGATGTTTAAAGGGTGTTGAAAGAATTCCGTAACTCAGCAGCTCAGGAAAGGAGTTTAAATTCCACTTTTATAACTCTAGCTCCAAAGAAAAAAGGGGTAGAGGAAGTGGGAGACTTCAGACCAATTAGTCTGGTTGGTAGTATATACAAATTAATTTCCAAGGTTCTTTCTAAGAGGCTCAAACTAGTCATGGGAACCCTAATCTCAGAAAGTCAAGGTGCTTTGTGGAGGGTAGACTCATGGTAGATGGAGTGTTAGTAGCAAATGAGATGATAGATACAAGACTGAGAAGTGGGAGGGCTGGGCTGCTCTGTAAAATCGATTTTGAGAAGGCTTATGATCATATCAACTGGCAATTCTTAGACTACATCCTAAGAAGAATGGATTTTGGCTCTAAATGGTGGGATTGGATGAAAGTATGTGTGACTACTCCCTCATTCTCAGTCCTAGTAAATGGGGTGTCCTGTGGTCACTTTAGGAGTTCTAGGGGCCTAAGGCAAGGGGATCCTTTTTCCCCCTTCCTTTTTATGTGTGACTGAAGCTCTAAGCAGAATGATGAAAAGGGCCACAGCAGGGGGGTTCATAGAAGGTTTTCAGGTGGGAGATAAAAGGGTGGAGATTTCTTTGTTGCAGTTTGCAGATGGCACTCTCATATTTTGTGAAGCTTCAGTTCATCAGCTTGGTTATGTAATGGCCGTGCTGCAGTGGTTTGAGATTGTGTCAGGCATCTATGTAAACAGGCATAAAACTGAACTGGTTGCAGTGGGAGATGTACCAGAAATAGAGAGGTGGGCGGAGGAGTGGGGATGTAAAAGAGGTAAACTTCCTTTGAATATCTGGAGATGCCTCTAGGCACTAGGTGCAACTCCAAATCAATATGGGAGCCCATTGTAGAGAGATTAGACAAGTGTTTGGCTTCTTGGAAGTACAAGTACTTACTTATGGAGGTAAATTAACTATGCTGAAAAGTGTTCTATCTTCCCTTTCCTTGTATTTGCTCTCTTTATATCCAATTCCTAGTGGGGTGGCTAAGTCTTTGGAGAGGAAGATGCAGGAGTTTTTGTGGAACGGATGGAGGGATGAGAAGAAAAAATTCATGTTGGTTAGCTGGTCCAAGATCTGCAAAACCCAAATCTCAGGGGGGCCTGGGTGTGAGAAGAATAAAGGATCTCAATTCCGCTTTACTGGGGAAGTGGCTTTGGAGATTTGAGGAGAATCAAGGTGGTTTGTGGAGAAGGGTGATAGCAGCCAAGTATGGTTATGGGATCTCTGATTGGGTCCCGGGTGAGCTGAAACAATTCTATGGATGCTCTGTCTGGAAAGGGATTGGGAAAACTTATGGTCCATTCTCAAATGGAATTAAATTTAGGGTTGGGAATGGGAGGCAAGTTCTTTTCTGGAAAGACTTGTGGTGTGATAATAGACCCTTGAGGGCCTCTTACCCTACCCTCTTTGAAGTAGCAGTGGACAAAGATGCTCTGGTTTCAGACTATTTGCAGGTGCAGAGTGGAAATATTGTTTTTTTTTATGAATGAGTGGAAATATTGTTTGGGCTCCTATCTTCAGGCGAAATCTGAATGATTGGGAAGTGGAGTGTCTAGTGGAATTGCTGCATTTGTTGTATAGCACCCCAGTGGAATTAGGGAGAGAGGATAGAAAAGTTTGGGAGTGAGAGAAGTCGGGAATTCTCAGTTAGGTCCTTTTACAACTATTTTTCCAGATCAGAGGATGAGCCAATCCCAGTTAAGTCTGTATGGTGTAAGGGTGTGCCCACAAAGGTGGCGTTTTTTGTATGGACAGCCTACTTTAACAGGATTTTAACTAGGGATAATCTGGAAAAGAAGGGTATGCTGTTAAACAAACTGTCTGTGTGCTTTGTCAGAATCATACCGAGTCAGTAAACCACCTGCTACTCCACCGTGTTTTCTCCTGTGAGGTCTGGAACAAAGTTGAGAATTTATATGAGGTGAACAGTTGCTGCCCTGAATCAGTGACAGATCTTGTGAAGAGTTGGAGAGTCAAAGGTCTAACTAAAGAGGGCATGGTTTGGAATCTGACTCCTGCTGCAGTTTTCTGGTGCATATGGCAGGAGAGGAACACAAGGATTTTCAAGAACCCACATAGCTCCTCAGATACAGTATTTCAGAAAGTTTTGGGAAAAATGTTTTCCTGGTTGGCAGTAAACGATGTTTTCAAGGAAAGAAGTTTTAATTCCTTTTTTGCGGTTGGGAGTCTTTTTGTAGCTTTTCTGGTGCAGTTTTTGTAAATCCCTGTGTACAGCTCCTTGTTGTACATGTTTTTGTCCTAATGAAATTCTTACTTCACCTGTTTCAAAAAACAAAATTAGCCTAATATGTATAAAGAATCTAGAGTCATGTCCATTCTCCAATCCATAAAATTTTCAACCAACACTCACCAAGCATTTTCCCCTAGAATTTTGGAGAAATGTTAACAATAACATGCAGTGAAACATAGTAATCCAAAACTGTAAAAAAAGATCCACTAACCATTTTTTTTACAAACATATGCCTTTCCAGATAAATCCATGTTATATTGTGCAAAGTTTTTCAGTTTTATCAAGGTGAGTATTACTTGACCATGATCCAGTACCTTACGCTGAAATGTAGAGGCATCATTTGCACCCTTTGGAGATTCACTGCAACACATCCAATAAACTCCACAAAAAATTAGAAACATGTCACAAGTTGAGCCATTCCAAATTTTCAATTAGCAATAATACCTTTATCTACTTTAAACCTTTTATAATGGAAGTACCTTATTTATAATATATCTAGAAAATGACATACTTGAAGGTATCTTTTTAAAATAATATAAGTGGGTGTTTTTAGGAGATTCCCAATTACACCTACAAGAGGCAATGTGCTTAGAACAGAATGAAAGCAACTTAACTGTAACAAGAATGTATGTGTGAAACAGAAGTGCCAAAAATTTAACTCATGCTAAGCCATAATAATAATGGCTATAAGTTATTTCCCTATGCAGTTAGAAGGTTCAGAAGTCAGAAAAGTACTCAGACTATTCACATATCAAAAGTATCCACTAGATTGAAAGGGGGATTATTTGGGGTTGGACCCAATAAGAGGGTAAAGAAGACAGAGAGGATGATTAAAAGAAGCAAAGAGGCTCTTGCTCTAGGCTGTAGCTATGAAGCTGGTGAATAGCTGGGCAATTGATTGGGCAACTCTTTGAAGGGTTTTTTGCTTGTTGAGTGTAGGGCTGTTGTCGTTGGACAGAGGATTGATTCTTCTGGGTCAGTCTGTTAGATTTTTTTTCAGGTTGATTAGGGGTTGAGATTCATTTGCTTGTAATTTTGGGTTATATGCTGTTCGGGATTGGGGGATTCTGTTCTATTTTGGCTTTGGGGAGATAATATTGGGAAATTAAAACTTAAAAGGGTAAGGCAGGCTTTTGGGGCTGTTTTTTTTTTTTTTTTTT